CTTGATATAACACATTTTCTATATTTATGTAGTATATCGTCTAATTTATCCAATCGTCAAATTTATATTATGTATCGTCTAATTTAACCAATTGATACACTAACGTAAACTAGTGCAATTATTAAAAAACTACAGTGCATCTAATAATTTGATCTAATTATTATAATATACTAATATAATGCTTGATATAACAAATATTCTATATATATATATATATATAATATATCGTCTAATTTAACCCATTGATACACTTACGTAAACTAGTGCAAACCGCGGTTTCAGTCGCATAAAAACACTAAACCTGTATAGTATCACCTGATAATTAAGATTTTACATAGAATCTTATAATGCGTCTAATAATTTGGCCAGGGATTGTAGCAGTAGCTTATACGGATCCATTTAATGCACCCTATTGCCTGAAGGTCGATTTTGAGGCGATTCATTTCCTTTCCTATTAGTAAGAAATATGAGATGGATTAACTAGGTGTGCAGTGTATTGTAAATAGAGCTAGAAATTTCATCTGTATACAAATCTATAAATATTGAATATGTCTTCTGTGATGCGCAACCAAAGAATCACAAGTGTCATTCCGTTAACTTCCGCTCACGCCCCTCCCCCCATTCCATTGAAAGTAATGAACCACGGAACACATCATCACACCTGAAATATTTTCCGTAACAATCTTTGTTTCCCTTGAAATACTTTTTTCATTGTTTCTTTACCTTATAAAATGGAACGCGGTAAAATTATCGCCATGTGGCATTTGCTGAATATTTGGGTAAATGGAATAATATATATTCTCAAACGACCATTTGTTACTTCGGTCTCCACCATCTAACAGGTAGGTGCTTATAGATTTATCCAGTTAACATTGAATAATCTTATTTTTATCATTCTTTTAATGCTTAAATGAATTTAATCGGAATTCGAAAAGGTAGGGTTAATCACGGATTTATTTGCCCCAAAATTAAATCTTGTTTTTAATCGAGCTAGGAAATATCGTCTGCTGATACAGTTCTGCTCGTTCTTGGAACATGTCAGTCTTGTTCATGAAGTTTTTCTAACTATCAAAACTAATTCTGGCAACTTTGGATTGCAAAACTTATTCGAACTCAAGTTATTGAAAGAAGTAATACATTTCAAGCGCACCGCTGTGTTCTAATTTTTAAGGGGGCAATATTAAAATACATAGTCACAGTTGTTCTTTAACACAAGAAAAAAAAATTCTTATATTTGACTATCTACTGAAATATTGATGGGTCATGAAAATTTTGTTTATTTGTCTGAAATATTGAGGGTAACTTTAAGAGGTACACTGTAAAAAATTTCGAGCTATGTTGCGCCAAACATTAGTATTCATTTGCTGGCTGCATAAAGTGGTGCTCAGTTTTACTATATATTGGTGCTTTCACAACCAGAGAAGGTTGCACCAAAAATGGGTATTTTGAAAGAACCTAAAAGCAGCGAAAGGTTGCACCAAAAATAAGTGTTTTGAAGTGAACTAAAAGTGGAGGAAGATTGCACTATGATTTGGTATTTTTTAAGGGAACTAAAAGCGAGGAAGGTTGCACCATGATTTGGTATTTTTGAAGGGAACTAAAGGCGAGGAAGGTTGTACCATTAGGTATTTTTAAAGTGCTGAAAAGCAGGTAAGGTTGCACCATTATTAAATGTTTATGAAAAAAAGAGAACATATTTTAAATCAAATTATAATTTAAATATTTAAATCTATGAAAATTAAAAAAGCTATTTTTATTTTAGATGTGTTATGTAATATATATATAAAATATATATTGCATAACACATCTAAAATAAAAATAGTTTTTTGAATTTGATAGAATTAAATTATAATTTGATTTATATAAATTTGATTTAAATTATATTCTCTTTTTTTTATAAACATTTAATAATGATGCTTACTTACTCTGCTTTTTGGCGCTTTAGAAAAATTTTCTTTCATATCAAAATTTTTTCTTTCTTCAAGTGGATATATGTGAAATTAAAATTCTTTTTTACATTTTATTCGTTAAAGCACCAACCGATGCTATAGAGTTAGTACCACTAATGTATTAAAGAAAAAATAAGAAAGAATTTTAATTTTAGGCTGAAGCAAATTCTTATTACTATGTATTTTGAAATTATTTTATTACTTAAAAATGAAAGTATTACTTTCACAAATAAAAATTTATATAAAAAAGTAGAAAAATATTGGATTGGTCAACCCCCTATCTCTAATTAAGGAAACATTCCAATATTAATTACATTGGTGTATGGAAATAATAAATTTGAAGTTAATTAAGAAATTTAGAAAATAATGACATAACTTCGGGAAATATTAACCAAAAATATACAGATCCAGATCAATATTCAAACATAATTTATTCATTTGCAATCATTTTGAAGTTTGTATACATAGACAGAATGTAGTAAATGAATACAAAATATTTAATTCTAAATTGACAAAAACTATCTTTGAAAGAAACGCGCCTAAAAGCAGCAGAATTTTCTAAAGAAAGAATAAATATAGTAATAGAGAAAACGAAGTAAATAAAAATACCTCCTGAAGACGTCAGCTTCGGTGGTCATATTTTTTTTTTATTTCGTTTTCTCTATTGCTATATAGACAGAATGTAATAATTTTTATGCAAAATCTTAAAATTTAAATATATTATACTTTTTGTACATATCACAGCATTCATTCAAAAATATTTACACAAAAATATGATAGTCTGTTTTTGTTACTAAAAAGTGCATTCAGTTCAAACTTATTTTTAATTTACTGTAATTTAAAATAAGAATTATGTTAGCATATGCCTCAATGTTTACAGTTTTGAAATTTGGGATCATCAGAAAATAATTTTCTGTATTTTAATAAGATACTAAATTTCTTGATACACTCTTCCTCATCCGAATTAAAACTTACAATATAACTAAATTATTTTTTTACAAACATAATTTACTACTTGATAAAAAATTTTTTTAATTTCACTCAGTTTAAAAAAAAAATACTGTCATGAGTAGGAGTGGGCGATATAAGAAATTTTATATCGTGATGCATCGTCAGTTTTGTATCGCGATGTAGTATTTTTGAAATTCATTTGCTTGTAAGGCGCAGAAAGTCCGATTTCTATCAAAATTTCATACTCAGATTGATTTAAATCAATTTATGAATTTGATGTACATGTTTTGCTTAAGAAAGATATTAATGTTATACTACTTTCTAAAAATGATAGCGCAATTAACGAGAGATTTCTTAGTTTAAAGATAAATAATAAAAAAATTAATAAAATATAAATTTATCAATATATTTACCGAACAATATAGAAAGAAAATTTAAAAAATAAGTTCGTTAAAAATTATTCGTATGCTTAAAACAAAGTGCTAAATAAATTAAACGAAAAAAAAACACTTTTAAAACACTATTTTTTATCATTATTATTTAACATAAATAATATAGTTAAATTGAATAATTAATGAATTCTGAACGAAAAAACAAAGTAAGATTTAATTTCTTAAAAATAAAAACAAAAGAATTATGATATTCGATAATATATTCAACTGACAATATTGAAAGAAAATTAAAAAACATGATTATACTCTTTAATAAAACGAAGTGCTAAATGATTTTAAAAAAAGAAGTCGCAATCGCAAACATTACTAATTTTTTTGAATAAACAAAGTTGATTGACTTATGTCCAAATCCAAAAGAGGAAAAATAAGTTTTGTTATAATTTTATTTATAAAAATGAAAACAACTAAAGATTTATAAATTTAAAATCAGTAATAAAAACCCATTAAATTATTATTTTATCCAAAAAGTTTTTAATAAATTAAAATAAAGTAAAAAATAGCCTAACAAATTTAATTACTTTTTAATTTAATTCTTTATGGGCACCTTAAATTAGATTTCCGTTTGTAATAAATTCAATAATGTAAAATAATACTTAAACATATAATATCAAAATTAATTTTCACATTTAAAAATAAAAAAGAAAGTTTTGTTTCAAAAAAAAAATTTACCTAATTAATTAAGAAACACTTCTTTATATATTCTTTTCAATAATAGATTACGTTCAGAACAAGGTAACGACGGCGATCACAAAGTCAGTCCCACTGAAAATAATCTACAAGAAACGATATCAAGTCGCGACAAAGAAGAAAAAAAAACTAAGAGGTGCGGAAACGAACATGCGAGATGACGATATATGTTCTCAAAACTGATTCTGATTCTACCGCTCATCAATCAAGGCCGTTTCAATATACATCGTCCGTACATCGTCTTCCCCAGCGCGAGTTGGCATCCTTGCATGCCTTGTATCGCTATATCGTATATCGCTATATCGTTCGTCTTCGTTACTCGACGGCTTAAATCAGATTTCTCATGCATCGTCTGGAACGAAAGTCGCTGTATCGGCCTGCCGATACAGGCGTTAAATCGATATGTCGCGATATATCAATTTATAGCCCTGTCCTAGTCATGAGAAAAATTATTTTTATTATATATTCATTATTATAGATTTTCTGGTGCTATTACTTTAACTATATCACATTTTTCAGTTGATAACTCTATATGTAAAAAAAAACAAGATTTAAAAAGGTTACATACAAATAAAACTTTGCAGTCTTTTCACAAAATAATTGTTTAGCCAAACACAGGTTCTTCATTCTCAAAACTTGAAACTGCACACATTCCTTGTTTGTAAGCTGTTCTTGAAACTAGTACTTTTGAAGTTTGAAAAAACTGTTTATAACCTTCTAGAATTTTGGTAATTTCGGCAGAATAAATACTTTTATCAATAGGCTTGGCACTGGTTATAACAATATTTTTTCCTAAGCCTCTTTCTTGACTAAAATCATTGAAGTTGTTGATACCTTTGTGCTAATGAAAGAAGATTATAAATTGTGTAATTTATGCTAATGAAATGTATAAGAATTGAAATAACATAAGATTTGAATCCTTACATTTTTTAAAACATAGAAAGATCAATCAAAGCAAGTCATATTTTAATTGCTATTTTTAAAATACAATATTTTAAAAAATTGCGAAATTGTTCTAATGTAAAAAAAATTTAAAAAACATTTGACCATCTGAAAAATATTTCGAGACCAACTATTTATTCGGGTGTGGGGGGGGGAGGTATTTTTTTCTTTAGCCTCCTTTCACCTACAAAATTCCTGGAAAGGAAAGGAAGGTTCTGATATTTAAAATATTATTAATATTTTACTTTATTTTTGCTGATAAAATGTGTCTAAGCACTTAAGTAGAATTTCTCTTCATGAGAAATTGTGAATGGAATTTTATGCAGGGTCACCTCGCAAATAAATTGCAGAAGGAACTGTCAACTGTTAAAATATTAAATGATAAACATGACAATCACTTGGATAGATCAAAGAGTTTGTGTTGAGTCTAAGAGGGCGGGATATAGCAGCTGAAAATCACACAAGCAGTATTCATATGGATGGTATTAAGACTCCACATGTATACTGTTTGTGTAGATTATCTTTTTTACTAAATTTCTTTTGTTTCATAGAAGCAGATATATTTCATAACAAAAAAAAAATACTTTTATAATTAAAAAAAAAAACTTTTCAAAAAAATTATTATTTTTTAAAAAAACTGTAAAAAAGAGTACATATGACCTTTTTCATGATCAATAAAAACATACAAATTCATGTTTATGTTGATTTCCCCCCCCCTCTCCCAAATACTAAAGTAGCTAAAGTAATATACATAAATCTACAAAAAAAAAAATAAGATTGCATGGAAAAATAATTATTGAAAGCGAAGTATTTATGAGCATCTAAGTATTTTTATTTATTTAGATTTAATTAAGAAAAATATTTAAACTTTTTAAATCCGATATTTTGTTTAATTTAAAATTTGTTTCCCTTACTTAAATATTTAGAAAATCTGCTTTTTTTTTAAAAAAAAAAAATAATAAAAAGAAATCAGCTTATTTCTAAATGCAATAAAATTTTTTTATTCTTCTCGGTATTTTGTTCAAAATTTCAGTAAGATTCTTGGCGACCAAAAAAGTTAAGCGCTTTGTTTTTTTTTCAGCTCCAATATTGGCCACTTCCCTTCCAACCCTTGTGCACCCAACCAACTTAAAGAAACCCAGTTTCCATGACAACGGCTTGTGGTGAAACGGAGTATAATTCGATTTGAAAATTTTACTACTAAAGCATTTAAGAATGCATAAACAAACATTCGTGTAATTATGTGACATTACAAACGAAAATTGACAATATAGAACATGAAAATCAAAACAGAAGCACAGATATTGATAAAAAGTTTTGTTTCAATCCTAATAGAAAGTACTTGCTATTATTTTTTTTGTTCGCACGGACCTATAAAATTTTTACCGGCAGAAAATTTGGCTGAAAGCTATGCTGTTAACAATTGTCGTATTTAGCGTTCATTTGTCACTGGTATTGCACTTTCTGTGCACATAAAATAGATGTATCTCCTTATTTATTGAAAAAGAGCTACTATAGATTTTAAAATATTTAATTATTCATACAACGAATGTAGTTTCCTAGAAGAAATTTGAAACTAACTCTTTCAGAACACACAACAAAATTTTTAATGTTGATATGATAGAAATGAACTGTAATTATTGCAAATAAATAAAAAAAAAAGTTTACTTACCTGCAAAAGAAATGGACAATTTCAAAGAGAACTTGCATGAGATGATTGCAAGCTTCGTCAACAAAATCCGTCATTATCCAACAATTACAAAATAAGTTATCTGTCACAGTTAAAGTTTGTGCCTCTCATAGTGCGAAAGTTTGGTGCAATCAATTGCGCCATGAATGTATTTCTCGATCATATTTACTGGTTTATGGTGCGACCTAAATAGAAAATTTTTTCATTTAACCAATTTATGGTGCAATTAGAAATTTTGCACCAAGTGTTGGTTAAATATTTACCGAGTTTTTTTACAGTGTAGGGACTTTATTTAAGTCGCACTTGAGCTACACCATGGGCTATTGGTGACGGAAACAGGAGGATGATCCGAAGACATTCTATCACAATTTTGTAAGGTCAGTTCCTCAATTTAGACACATATCTGATGGGGAAGGAAATTTTCTCCATATCCCAGTACCCATGTTCCTGCTCAGCGACCAACCACAGGAATTTCGATTCCACAGATTCCCCGGTGCTTCAAATTGGTAACCTTTCTGAAACATACAACCAACCTCAGATTCATCTTAAAGATTACCCAGTGCTTCAAATTGGTAACCTTTCTAAAGCGTACAACCAAACCCCGATTCAGCTTAAAGATTCTTCAGTGCTTCGAATCGGTAATCTTTCTGAAGCGTACAACCAACCCCCGATTCATCTTGAAGATTCCCCAGTGCTTCAAATTGGTAACCTTTCTGAAACATACAACCAACCTCCGATTGGTCTTAAAAATTCCCCAGTGCTTCAAATTGGTAATCTTTCTGAAGCGTCTAACCAACCCCCGATTCAGCTTAAAAATTCTTCAGTGCTTCAAATCGGTAACCTTTCATAAACATACAACCAACCTCCGATTGATCTTAAAGATTCCCCAGTGCTTCAAATTGGTAACCTTTCTGAAGCGTATCTCATACAAATCAGCCAATCGTCCAAATCGTCCTCCAAAATCGTCCAACTTCAGATTTAGTAGATCAAGTGCAGCAGGTCATACTAGTTACACTAAGGATTTTCTTTTTGACAAGGACATGGTAGATTGTAATGTACCATGCTATGTTTTACTTTATTTTATAACCGTCGTTGAACAGTCGACCCAATTTTTTGGGTTTAGGATTACAACTCCGCAGCCTTGTAATTTTAAACCCAATCCAGAAGACAAGAGAACTCCTTTTTTAATTATAGGGAGAATTCGCCTTGATGGAAGATTTATTGATGGAACTAATCCGCGTTTGTGTTACATTTAAAGGAAAACAACGAAAACCTTCCACGGTTAACCTGACGGCAAGGGGACTCTAACCCACTATCCGTCTACGACTGAGGATATTTTACGTCAGGTCGACTCAAGTCGGAGGTGGAATTCGCATCGACCAGCGTTCGCAGGGATTCAAACCCGGTTCACCTGAATGGAAGGCGAACGCTCTATCCCCTGAGCCATTACTGCTCACCATGCTACGTTTTTTCTGTATATATAACCGTCGTTGAACAGCCGACCCACTTTTTTCGGGTTTACGACTACTAATTTTCAACTCCGTAGCCTTGTAATCTTGAACCCATTCCAGAAGACAAGGGAACTCCTGGATCAAGTATTAGGAGAAATTTCCCTTCGTGGAGGACTTTTTGATGGAACTAACCCACATTTGCGTTACATAGAGAGGAAAACCTCCCACGGTTAACCTGATAGCAAAGGAACTCTAACGCATGATTCATCTACCACTGGGGATATTTTACGTCAGCACTGTGGTCGGTGCTAGCCGGGTGCGGAGTTCGAATTGACCATGGATTTGAACCCGCTCCATGAAGGCGAACGCTCTATCCCCTGAGCCACCATGGCGCACATAAAGTGTTTAAAATAATTATACAGAAGCCGAAATCAGTGCTTTTTTACAAATGGTGTCAGCAAAAGCTTTTGCACAAAAATTATTCACGCTTTACACTTCTCTTCTCTTCTCGTTCCATTTGTAAGTTTACAAGAAAATCAGTTAACATCATGTCTTTTAATATTTCACCAATTACCAAGTAATTTGAAGTGAAATATATTCACATAAAAAAAATAAAAACCTTCCAACCTGTCTGATGTTCTTCCGGCGATTAAGACTATGCCAATAACTCATTTAATGCAATGCTGGTTAACACATTTTCCATATGAAATTCTTTTAATATATTACATGCTCATTTTTAACGATCATTTAAAAACATTTCCTTTTTTCTAACCTTGTTATTTACAATCTTTTGTTCTTGATGTTGCTATAGTTTTTTCCACATTGTTTGCGATTTACTGACTCACTTCTTTTTTTAATTTCTTCAGGCGCCGAAATGAAATCGTGTGCAATTCTTCAGATTTTCATAGCAGGAGTTATTTGCATATCTTATACAGGTAATATTTTAAATTTTTTAATTAATTTATTTAATATTTTACAAAATGCTGATTGATTCTCGGTACGGTAATTTTCCTTTTCAAAATGTGGTTTACGAATTAGTGGCTGCGATTTTTATTGTTATTANTATATATATATTGTGTATAAAAAGTACGTTTTTGACACATTTTACATTGCTATGTCTAAACATATCAGTTATATTTTCCGAAGAAATTATTTTTTCGTGAATTGATTAAAATAAAACAGGAATTGAAAAGATGAATAGTTAAGAAGTTATGAGGGTTTTACGTGCAAAAAGTACAAATGTAGCGTAAAAGCATTTATCTATGCAAACAATTGGGGTATGTATTTTTTCTAGCTGAATCAAATTCAAACAAGCACAAATCAAAAGGACTAATATTTCAGAAGTTGCTATAGTTTTATTTTTTTGTATTTCATTTTTTTATATATATTTATAAAAAGCACTATTTTGTGAATTATACTTACCATGAAGAAATTCCTTATAATTTCTAAGCTATATACATTCTAACCACTAGTATTTTTTTCTTTATTTAATTCAGTATGACAAATGATATCGCAAAATATCCTGCTCAGATATCCTCTAGCATTGTTAAAAGTGTACTTAAGTACATGTCAATAGTAGTACTTTTAATATATGTAAAACGCTTTCAACTTTTAAGCCATTTATTCTATCAACTCTTCTATAGTCTCATTCAAGTCAACGTAAAAAAACTACATAAAGAACCGTATATCACTTGCTTAGATAGCAATGTCACATGCGTAAATTGGTACAAATACACAATTGTACTTTAACCCATAATTACTATAATTATAAAACCCATATAAGTATTAACATTCAATTCAGCGGGAAAATTCTTTTTAGGGATTCTCTTTATGGAAAAGCGTACAGAAAAGAGTTAAGGAACTTTCTGACGAAAAATTACTTTTAGTATTATTTAATTCTGAAGAAACATCCTTTTTATTAACATATGTACTGTAATTAATCATCTAAACTGCACGAAATTGTGGTCACGACGGTTTACTGTTATGCCGTTGACTAAATTGTTCCAGTGGAGACTTATGCTTGCGATGAGAATCATTTCTACGACGAATCATGCCCACGATGAATTGTCGCCGAGGCTTTTCTCACGACGAATTGCCCCATGACAAATTATCGGCTATGATGCTACGAATTAAGGTAGAACTTTTTTCCCCATTCTTTTTCTACTTATTTGATGCTCTTTTCTTCTTCAAGTGGTGCAGGAAATGAATTGCTCCATGTAAATATGAGTTTAAACGTAGATTTTCTTAGTCTGTATGTTTCGTTCACATTTGTTTTCTTTGCGTCCAGTTATTGTACGAAATCAAGATGGCTTTACTTAAAGGGGACGCCCTGTATTCATTCGATTTAGTGGAGCTATTTCATTATAATTTATTTTTAGTAAATATGATTTAATTTTTTTCGAGCTTTTATTTCAAAAGTAACTTCATATATTGTTGTAGTAACTTCTTAAATTTTATTTCTTTTACAGAATCGCAGGAACAACTCAACTCAACATCGACTCGTCGGCAGACCACCAGCAAATCATCACTTTCAAAAGCAGGAGATTTTCCACAATACGTGCAAGCCCCTTACGACTATATGCGCAATTTCGACGATCTTCTGATCCGGAGTTCAAATAAAGATCAGCTGGCAACTCAAGTGGATTTTTTAGATCTCCAGACGACCCCAAAACCCCTTCAGCATTTGACACTTTACAAATTATCCCACGATCCCACCCTAGAGTTCTATGACGAGACGGAAAATCTGGCCTTAAAAAAGCATGACTATGCCAGAGGTGGTCAGGGAAATTTCGGCGGTTGGGATAGTTTTCCTTCTGGAGGCTTCAATTTAGGAGGTCATGGGGGTGGTGGTGGTCATGGAGGTGGTCACGGAGGAGGATTACGAGGTAGAGAAGCTAAGGCACTTTTTGTTCTGTTGGCGCCACTCATACTGCTGGCAGTTTTTGGTCCCTTTTTAGCTACTCAAGCTATGCTACCCTGGATGATCGGTGGAGGGTTGACGACTGTGAGTACGATCGCCGGAGGACGACGTAAGCGGTCTATTCTGGCTGATTTCAGGCACGCGACCGATCGGAGGCTTCAACTCTTTTTGGAAGTACAGGATTATTTGGCGAAATCTGGAAATCCGGATTTAGTGAGAGAATTGGGAGACGCTTTTATGAATTGCCAAAAATACAGTGAGCGAAGGAGCAAGTGCCTGGAGAGAATGTCTTGTGAGTACATGGATCCTTCCTCTGATCTCAACAGGGAAGAGCGCAGAATAGGAAGGATGTAAGTTATTCATACTTTGTTTCATCTAGCACACTCTTTTAAACGTAATAGTTTCCCTATTAGGTTAGAAAACCCATTCTTTAAACAGCATAAATTTAAAGAGTTAGACGTGTTATTTTATTGTAATTTATTTATGGTAAAAGTGATTAAATTTTTTCAAGATCAAAAGTAATAAAATTAAATAATCATTGTAATAGAATAATTATTGTAAATTTATCTGTAAAGTTTTTTTTTTTCAGAAAAAATGCAGCTTGCAGTAAATTGGAATGTTTTTAAGTAGTGAATATTGACATGGCAATTATTTAGCATTCAAATTAAGTAGATACATTTAATATAAAAAAAAAATTTTTTTCAAAAAGTAGCCGAATCCAGGGATAAAAAGCGTTATTTGGCTAAACCATTAGTATAATTCGCTCATCAGGAGTTGGCACTTGGCTCCGCCTTCATCACGTGGTATCCGACGATACTATTCCACTATTTTTGGGAGAAGGATGTGAACAATCCTGAATAATGTTGCTATTTGGCGATCGTATGACTAAATATTTATTTCGCAATCTTAATGTGCATTTTTTTAACGTTAAATATTTCATAAATTTGATGATATTTCTCTCTTTTGAGTGAATAGTTTGTCCTTTTTGAGACATTTTTCTGCAATATATTTAATTAGCTAGAGTAACGAACGGTATAATGGCGGATGATAAAGCGAGGTAAGTGACTGAAAAAGAACTGAAAGGAAGCGAGGTAAGTGACTGTTAGTGTTAGGAGCGCATTAAGGGTTGTCTCAATTTCAGGCGCGGATACGTTTTTCCTCTTACTCTCTGCGCGGAAATGAACTCTTCGTCCGAGGTGGAGCCAAGTGCCAACTCTTGGTGAACGAACTATAAATGTTCGTACAATGAATTTCAAAATGAAATTCTACAACTGCAGTGATACCGTAGGGTTGCCTTGTAGTTCTAACTGATGATTTTCTTTTTATGTAGGGTTCTTCGAAATGTTCTGTCGAATCCTCTTGTACCAGTATCTATGGCAAATCGTCTGCAGAAAGGTCTTGTGCATGCTAGAAAGCAATCAGGGAGATGCTACAACTATTGGTGTGAAGTTCTTGATGGTCTTAAAAATTGATGATGTTTGATAATTGGAGAATACATAAGTGAATCATTTTTCATAAATGAGGAAGTTTACTCTTAATAGAATGTCATTGAACACTTGATAGAATTTTCAATATTTATTAATGAATTGTTTAAGTGAATTTTCATTTGTAATTAATGAGTAATTGGTTGATTTTTCACTTGCGATAAACTTTTCATCGAAGTAGTTTTAAAGATTACACCAGAATCCGTGAATACATCATAAATGTTTTTTCATAGAATTGATTTCTAATAGACTTCATATACACTACCTTACAATAATAAAAGAGGAACTTTCAGTTTTCGTAATTTATGAAAGTTTCTCAAGAAATATTTAAAGAATTATTTTATGACTTTAGAAACGCTTAGGTCAGGCGATTTCTCTTACTTATCAATAATGTTCAAAGCTTTCAGAGTTTTGAGAAACTAACACATAAATAACACTAAACATGCCCAACACTTAATATAAACCAATTTCTACCATAGCCGGACCGGACTTTATGTTTCTTGATTGAATGTATGAAATATGGATGTTAGGAAGGAAATAAACTAAAAGGAACTTTATTATAATTAAACAAAATTGTATATTGCTAATTTTTATGTAATACAAACACAATAAGAATTTTTAATTCATTGCTCAACGCATTTTTTACATTTACAGGGTGTTTCTATTGTACATTTTCCGCAAACCTATTTCTTCTAATTATTATTATCTCGATAATTCTTATAATTATAAGAATTATAATTCTTATAATTATTCTTATAATATTATTTCTCCTAAGAACTTGTGCTGTCTTGATTGTTTCGACATTTTTCTGGGTAAAAAACTAACAGTTACTTAGAAATGAAGTAAAGCTATCAAAGTAAAATCTAGATCACCGAAGTCAAGCATCACTGGCTACGGTCAGTGTGCGGGTGAGTGACCACTTGGATCAGCCTGCGTAGGGACCGAGGATGTGCGGTATTGGTCCTCGTTAAACTGTTCTACCGTAAAGTGCTCGACTTCGCGAGCAGGTCGTCGGGCTACCGAAGCGGGGGTGCCATCCCCTCCGCAAAGGATCAAAATTGTGATGGCATGTCTTCGGATCATCCTCAGGGATGTTTCCCAGACCGTCGCCAATAGCCCATTGTGCAGCTGTAGTGCGACGTAAATGAACAACAACAAAGTAAAATATAAGTTATTTACCAAAACATTTAGTTTTTGTCCCTTTTTCTTACACAAAAATGCCAATCTAAAATTTTAGGTACTATCTTGAAATTTGAATTCACAGTTATTCTGATTGAACTAACTCCGCAACAGTTTTTGCAGAAATGTGCAACTAATCGAATGTAATACATTGAACACTCATTACATCGTAATTTCTGATCCGATAACCTTATAAAGCAATAAATTGTTCTCCCGGTCAAATGACCGGTTATGGTAGAAATAGGTATACGACAAGTATTATTCGAAACAAACAAAATACAAAAAAGAAATGATAATAATAGGATATTAACTGTATATAATTGTTAGAAAAAGTCATGAGTTCAAATGCGCAAAAATGATAAGATGATAAGCGCATTTTCGATACAAAAGTCCTTAAACGGTCATTTGACCAGTTATGGTATGTTAAGTGTTAAGAAACAAAAAAGAATGCTTTTGAACACCAATCATCCATTCCAGATTACAAGTTTAAAGGAACGATGTTCGAGCACGGCGACTCAGAAACTACGAGTTCGAAAAATCAACGGCACAGGGAAAAAGTGATTCAAAAGAATAAGCGTTGGATAAAAAAAGTGTTTACCTGTCCTGTTTTAATTCTTTATTTTTGGACATTAAATTGTGTGTTTTTTTTTTGTCTTACCCTCATCATGACATTACCTCATCATGCCAAGATTATGTCTGTAATAGAAACTGTGTTCTAATGATAGCTTGCTGATTATGTTTTCCTTATGTGCTGTCTTACAATAATATTTTTTTTCTAAGTTTAAAAGACTTCAATTATGCACTTTACACTACGCATTAAACTATTGTTAAATATAATTATAAAAATTAGTTATAAAATTAATTATAATATTATTAAATTAATAAAAACTACTGTTAAATTATTATAAAAGTAACCAAATTTTTGGACTAGACCAAATTTTTAGCCAAAATTTTGAAAATGAAAAACGTTTCTAGCAAATTTCTAAGTAGTTTTTGTACTTTTTGATAGGGGGTTATCCACAAATTTCATTTTGTATCATAAAACAAAATTTAATAATGAAACCTTATAATGACTGTCTAGGCAACAGATTGTGATGATATAAAGAAGAAAGACCTATGAAACAGGGCTCGAAAAACAGCCTGTCCGCCCGTCCTCGGCGGTCAAAAATTCTCCGCGGACAACGAATTTCTCGAATACGACGTCCGCGTGGACGGCCATTTTCCCGTTAATGTTCGTGATACATTTTCAATTTTTGTTATCTTACAAGAGTCTAGCTCCTCACTTCTAAAATGACCCTGAAATGGAATTGATATCTTCTCTGTCTGGGAGTACTGCAGCGGTTGAAAGGGGCTTTTCAGCAATGAACTTACAAAAAAAAACACATTACGTACTGGTCTTAAACAAGAAGCGTTAAACGCAATTATGAACATTTATCTAAATGGAAAACCCCTTTCAGATTTCTGTGCAGAAACCTCCGTAAATCATTGACTTGATTGTGGAACTGGCAAACGTCATATTTGATTCATTTAAAAAAAAGCAGTACCCCCGAATAAATTGACATTCCAGAAAACTTGACCTTTGTCATTTAAATTATTTCATAAAAGAAATAAATTATTTAGAAAATACTAGATTACTATTAGTACCCTATAGTATTTCTTTTATTACTGTATAATGTAGTCCTGGTAACTAGTAATTCACTGTGCAATTTATATATATGTTTGTAATAAATAAGAGAAAATTATATTTTTATTTATTTAGAAGCTGCGGGTTAGTTTCAAAGGAGGACGGGTACATTGTTGGACAAGCCGTCCTCGGGGACGGGTAAAATTTCTGAGTTTTTTCGAGCCCTGCTATGAAATAAGACATACTTTAATAGGGGATAGGCCCATATAATGCCAGCGTCATGTTTAATCTTGTTATATAATCCCTTTCCATTCACAGCTTTCTTTTAAAATTTGCAAAAACTGTAGAGAAAATTCCTAAACTTTTTAAATTTTCAAGGTATTTAAATCAGTTCTTTTTTCATTAAGTCACTAAATACAAACAAAACAAAATCATCAAAAGATTTTTTGAAGTTTTCCGCTTATGCTAATCTTAAAATGACTACTTTAAATGCCCTTATCTTGTGCAATTTTTAGCAACTATTTTTCATATTTTAAAGTGGTATTTTTGTTTATGGCTTGTTTGTTAATGCTATGTATAATATGATTATTGAAATTAAAATAAATATAATAAATTATAAGTTGTTTTAAGGTGGTGATTATATTAATTAAAGAAACATTTAACGTTCATTGCATGAAGAAATTTTAAAATTCTATAAAAAGGAATCTTATCCAAATAAGGAGTTCTGAATAAGGTTGCTATTTGGCGATCGTATGACAAAAATATTTATTTCTCAATCCTTATGTGCATTTTTTTAGCAATAAATATTTCATAAATTTGATGATATTTTTCTCTTTTGGGTGAATAGTTTGTCTTTTGAGACATTTTGCTGCAAAATATTTAATTAGGTTTATGAGAAATTTCAAAATCATTTTCAGTTAACTGCTCTTTTTGCAGGTATATTAGGTGAAGTAGAAGAGATTTACATATTCACATTAATTTTCTTTTGTTATTTCTTTTTAACACTTTGTTCAGAAGTATCAGCTATTTCAGGGTTAAAGTAAATTATACCCGAACAAATATGCTTGTTTAAATGCAAAGTTTCATTACAATTATTTCTGATAACAGTAGTAAAGGTAACTTCGCTGTAGTAAAGGTAACTTAAAATTACGTAATGAAGGGAAAATTTCAACATCGGACTTATTCAAATTAGGTTTAAAAAGAATTAAATCATTTTGTTTATAATTAGCATTTTTAATGTTAAGTTTAATTTGAGTTGCTTCATTAGGTTCTGAAATTACTTTTTGATTAAGTGAGCAACTAGTTTCAATACACATAAGATTATTACAATTAATAACGTCTTTAGAGAATAGAGACACTTTAAAACTCCTTCCAAACAACAAATTTTTACATTATTTTTGCTCAAAAAACCGTGCCTTATTATGGCTTATGAAAAGTATCATGAAAGAAATGGGATCGATGAAATGGAGATTTAAAATGATTTTTAGCAACTTTAAATTATATTTCAAGACAGAATAAAAAGTATAATTCAGAATTAATGGTTTTGATTTGCACATTAGAAGATATATGTCTAGTTTAGGGTCAGCTTTTATTGATCGTAAGTACCTGTTGACATTAAACAAATGGACGACCTACTATCGAGCAAACTCTTGAAAGTGTTATGGCCAAATTTAATATGCAGGATGTTTATAAAGTCCCAGACCCATTTTGATGTTTAATAACTCATAAAATAATAGAGATAGATTAAAATTAATAACATAAATGGTTATATAGACTCAAAAAGTTTCATGACCCTTGTCAATGAGCTACCACGTGTGCCCCCTTCGTCGCTCCGAGAATATCAAGTCGATAGTCAATTTCACGCCAGGTAGCGGCAAGCATGTCGGCGTCCACAGAGGCTATTGCGGTTGTAATTCTGGCTTTTAGGTCATCAATGTTCGACACGATCCTCCTGTAAACATTGTCCTTTATAAATCCCCAAGGGAAAAAGTCCAGCGGTGTTATATCAGGTGATCTGGATGGCCAAGGAATTGGACCTCCTCGCCCAATCCATCTTCCTGGAAAATGGTCATTCAAAGAACTACGAACGATGATACCCCAATGAGGTGGTGCACCATCTTGTTACAAAAAAACATGTGGCTGAAGCTCTTCTAGTTGAGGAAATACGAAGTTTTCCAACATGTCTAAGTATACGACTGATGAGACCGTCTTTTCTGAAGAAAAAAAATGGCCCAATGACTCGGTCGTGCATTAGACCACACCACACATTAACCTTTGGGGAATCCCTTTGTGTCTCACGGTATTCATGGGGG